TTTGTGGGGTTACAAGGACGGCATGTCTCTGCATCATTGAACTGGCAAAAGAGGGTGGGTGTGTACACACACACACACACACACACACACACACACACACACACACACACACACACACACACACACTAAAGCTTTTCTTACGCCACATCTTCATAGAAGCTCTCCAGCTCGTCTCGCTGCTCAGCCAGAGAAGAGTCCAGGTCCAGATAGTTTCCACTGGGAGACAGCTGGAGGGTGCAGTCTTCCAGCTGATGGACACACAGACAGAGACATATGTGAAGATCAAGTTTAACCAATGCTGAATCACGACAGAGCTCAGCTGTGAACAGATTTGTTTGTGTGTGAAAAGCCGAGGCAGAGCGAGGGACACCGATCTCTGGTGTCAGTAGAAACCGATCCTGCAGCCGCTGCTGCAAACAAACAAAACTGACTCGACCGGTTTAACCGATGAGGTCTGTGGATCTTTGCCTCTATATTCATGTGGGAGAAAGTAATCTGCCCGGATACTGGCTAATCTGGATGAGTCTCACACTAAAGCTGCACCCAGATTTCTAAAGGATCATCCAGCCTCATAAAGCTGAAGACATTTTGAGATTTGGTAACTAATGCGAGGACACCTGCTGTCCGAATAAATCACAGACTGAAAACAGTCACATTTATGGCAAATACAACAAGATGCAACAATCCTCCAATATCAGGAGTCACACTTTATGCAAAATTTAAGCCACCAACTTCAATTAGCTGATCAATAACAGCTTTTCTGCATGAGTGATTCATGCATTTATTTACAGCACAGTGTAGGACAGCTGTAGATCCGATGCTTGGCTGCGACTTTTATTTTGTGTCAACTCTAAAGCCACAGGACAAGAAAAACTCCTGACGTTGATTTACTCCAGGATCATATCGATCCATGTTGTCCTGCGTCAGAGAGAAATGCCATTTATACTTCAATATATTTATTATATTCTTGTTAAAAACAATGGAGTCCCGGTGAATCAATGTAATGTAATGAGACACAATGCTGTCAAATTCAAGAGCGGCAGAAAACACTCGACTGTTGTGCCGATGCTTTAGCTCAAACAAATGCGATTCCTCCACCGTCGCTTCTGCAGAACGCCCGATTTTACTGAATTTACATGACATGTAAATATTCTGGCTGACTGGAAAAATAAAGACAAAGCGAATTATCAAGAATTAACCACGACCATTATAAAGCTGGACTGTATAACAACTCAATTGTACTTGTATATAAATAATTCATAACAATGGGCATCTCAGGACACTTTAGGAAGGTACCAATCCACCAACATCGTTCAACAGAATTAGCTAAATTAGCTCCTCAACATGTCCTGAAGTTCTCCAGAGGCCTGGTAACAAACTAATCCTGTGATTCAGGTGTGTTGATCCAAGGTGAGATCTAAAACCTGCAGGGACACCGGCCCTCGTGGACTGAGATTGCCCACCCCTGGTTTAGCTTCCTATTCTACTTTTCATCACTAAGAACCACAAGAAAGCCCACAGTCTGAAACTGAACAGCCATGTAGGGAAATGTAGGAATAATATGACGCTAATAGGTCTTTAATATTACCGTTTCATAACTCACGAGTAGTTTTCCAGAATGTAAATGATAACATTAGAGACACGGGAGGTTTCTAATTTTTATAGTAAGCAGTCATGCATATTTGTTTAATGTGTTTGTTGAAGGAGACACTGATTAAAGTGACTCAAAGGTTCCTTGCAGTGTTAACAGAGGCCAGTGTAATGCCATCAGATTAGTCAATGTGTTTCTGAGGTTAAATACAGTAACTTCAAATTTAATCTGAGTTTAGCAGCAGGAAACAGGAGTCATCTCGCCCTTTGTCTTTAAAACATGTCTGCAATTTAACTGACTCGTGTATCTGGTTGTATTGCTAAATATAACAAGGTATTACCTGCAGAACAATGGAAATGCACGCAGTGCTTTCATGTTATACATTCTTCCCTTTGGCAGTGAAAATAATTGGTCCCAGCACAGAACCCTGGGGAACTCCATGACTAACCTCTGAGTGAAGATATAACTTGGATTTTTATTATTGAAACTGGAACACATCATTCAGAAAAATCCATGTAATCTGTAATAAAACCGACTGCTTCATGCAAACAAAGTTGGTTTAGGCTGAGAGAAGCTAATTAGTAACCGTCGCTGCTGTAAATGTTTTACAGCCATTTCTAAAGCTGGAGCTGATGTGTGACATTTGTGCTGTTGGATAATCGTACAGTTATTCAGCCGTCGTACCGTCAGCTGTAAAACATGAATGCTGCTCGCGTCAGACGTTATTCTGTTTATTTTAGAAATGGCTGTTTAACCCCTCCCTCCTTTTGCATCTGTGGTTTCTATACTTTCACTGATTTTATTTACATGTGACAGAAAGTTGCTTTACAAAACCGATCCAACAGGTCACACACGCTCTGTGTTTTCTGGGGCAGTATGCAACAGGAATGTGTTTTTTACTCTCTCAAACAGTAAACGGGTCTGATCCACATCAGCTTCATGTCTATTTATAGCCGCCCTGCTCGGCCTGGCAGCATGTTTGTAGCAGAGCCATGGCCAGGTACAATAATCAGTTATCAAACACATCAGGTCTGCTTTTGAGTGTCAGACTCTAGACCTGCAGGTCCACATTCTTCTTCTCCAACAACACAGATCCTTCCCGTCAGCCTGGAGCTGCACGGAGGAGGCGGAGGAGGCTCACCTCCACATTTTTAACTGATGGTGTAACTGCAGGTCACGTGGTTGTTCGTGGATTTACATTTTCTTCGCTATAATTTTCAGTAAGGATTTAAAGAAGACCTGAAAGTGAACTTGGACAGTGACCATAAAAGCAGCTCCAAACATCCCTCTGACTCAATCTGCACATTTTCAGGTTTAACTAATTTTACATCTGAGTCTACAAAAACCTTCCTTTTCTGTGAAAAGTTTGTTGAGTTTGCACTCACATTTTATACAGAGTAGTCTAAGGAGCTGGGAAAAAAGCGACTGGACTGCTTTAAGTTTCTTGAAGACGTTTCATCCAAGGAGCTTCTTTAGTTCTAAAACCAATTGGTTGCAAATGCCAGATTATTAAGGCCTACTGGGAGTGTCCCTAAGAGGGTTGTTGACTGACTATTGATCATCTGAGTGTAGGTCATTATCAGCCAAGGTTTCAGGCTAACCCATAGTGAGACCACGCCCCACCCTGTCATGTGATCTATTGAGATTAAATGGCCCAGGATGCGAGTGGGCGTTAAGGCGTCTGGGAAGGATCTCAAAACTGGATTATAGATGGCACAGTGGGTGTCATAAGCCCCGCCCTCTGTTCAAAGATGGTTGTTCACAGTGGACATAGATGCTTCTTTCACTCCTCTTTCAAACCATCTGTCTTCAATGTCCAAAATGTAAACATTGGTATCCTCAAAAGAGTGACCTTTGACCTTTATGTGCAAACTGAAGAAGCTGCTTCTCGCATGAGAGGTGAAATGTCTTCAAGAAACTTCAGTCCAGTCGCTTTTCTTTCCAAGCTCCTTAGATTACCAAGACCTGGACACTAAGAACCTTCAGACTGAGAGCTTTTCTAGTCTTACCGACCACTCAAGGCGCTTTAACACCAAGTCACATTTGAACCATAGAGCACATCTACCTCACATCCATGGTAATCTAGAATCTCCAGTTAAGCTAACAAGTGTTTGGACCGTAGGAGGAAGCTGGAGTACAGACACAGGAAGCACACACAGACTCTCCATCTCACCAGGATTCTGCCCAAATAAAGGAGTTCGGCTGTGAGTGTTAGTATTTTACGGTGACCTCCATGAAGTGGAGACAAAATGGTTAAAAATGTTTTTTAACCTAACATCTTAGAGTGGACAGGAATGGCTTAAACACATACGCACGTTGTGGCGCCTTCCTCCTCCAACTTCCCCCCTCTCTTGGTCCTCATTGATTAGCATCCTATTGACCCACTGGGTCAAAATGTAGATGCTTCCGTTATGCAGAACTGTGTCATCACTGTATTTATTATTTTGCAAAACCAAACAGGAAAGGTTGAAGAACACGCCACCTTTTCTAATTTGAATCAGCTGGATTAGATGCCCTGCTACAAACTCTGAGGACAGAGACGGTAACCGTGCAAAGGATTCACTCCGAGCACGAGTTTGTGTTCTTGGGCTGCACAATTAGTCAAATCTAAATCTCAATCACAATTTTGGCTTCCCACAATTAAACTAAATACTAAAAAGCGTGCTCTGCCAATATAATGCAAAGCAAAGGCAAATGAAGCCTAATACTGTGCCTGATGACATGGCTGAATGTGCCGATGACAGCTGTTCCCTGTTCCAGTCTGTATGAGTAACAAATCATAAAAGACAGATTTACAACAGCCTGTCAAAACAAACATCAAATGTCTGACACAGCAGGAAGTGAAGAGCTTGCCTCCTGAAGGGGATCATCATCCATTGTTTGGAATTACTTCAGATTTGGGGCAAGTGACGTTAACCTGGAAAGAATCACATACAGAGAGTGCTGCAGAGTTGTAACACAAATAACACACAACTGCCTGAAAACACAATGCAGTGGTTGCAAATGCGCCTCGTCCAACATCAGCTCGGACGAGTCTGTACAGCGCATCGGCCTATCAGCGCATCCATCCAGCTCCCACCAGCCAATCACATTTGACTTGATTCTAGATAAGAGTCCAGTAAACACGGGGAGTAACGAAGGCTTTGGGAAGACGTTGAGCTGATTGGACGCCTGATACGTTATCCTCTCTCTGTTCATTTGTGGCAACAGCTGACAGGGGAAATTAGAAGAGGCCCCTCAGCTGTTTTGTTCACATTCATCGTGCAGGTACAACAAATGGAGTGAAACCTTTACCAGGACACGCTCTCATGCCAGGTCAATAAACACCTCGTCTGTCTGCAAAGAAGTTCTAATTGACAGGAACGTGCCATGACAGAAAAGTGAAAGTGGTGCCCGGATGACTTTGTGTTTTATTTAATTTATGAATTGTATTAGAGCAGTCGTCTGTCTGAACTGGTTTGGTTGAGGAGAAAGAGGAGAAGGCGAGACGTCACGCACTGCCTAAACTAAATGAAGTATTTAGTAATGACAAAACATATGTGGAGAATCTTGTGCCGTGTGTGCCGAATGCAAGACGGGACAAACTCAGACGGTTTCCCGCGACACTGTCTGGAGATCATGTGCAAACAGCTTTACACTCGATTTAAATAAACACTGCTGCTAATTTACTTTGATCCTCTTTAAAGCCGACACTGAGCGTATGAAACAAAACTCATCGACAGACTGTTTGTGCAACTGCTGCCTACAAATTTTAGGAAGGAAAAGCCTGTTCAGCTCTTATCAACACATTGCTCTTAGTATTACATCCGTCCATGCATCCATCCGAGCTTATCTGCTGTTTACAGGTCCCACCCTTTTCCTCCAAAAACCAGGCAGTGAAGCAGGAGGACGACGATGAAATAGAACCAGCTTCGTGCAGCACAGCAGATGTAATGGCTGTGTACCATTCTCACTATCTCACTGAATCTATCAAGGAGGCGGGGAGCTGCCTCAGGTCGAGCCCTGGGGCAAGATGGGAACAATTAGGGGGTCAGTGGAGGAATGTAATCTATAGGGACCAGCGTTCTCTGGTGCTTATCTGATGCTCGAAATTCCAGCCGGGCTCCGGCCGCTTCGCGGCAGGCTGGTGTCGGGCTCACATGATGGCTATGAATCTTTGAAACAGAACTTCCTTTTTTAGAAAGTGAGAAATCAGCACTAGTGTTTCACAGAAACAGTGCAGAACATGTTCAAACAAAGACTGCTGAGCAATGATTGCTTCATCCTTCTTTTAACAACTGCAGAGGGAAAAAGAGCAAAATGTGACGTCAATAAGATGGATGAAGGAAAAACTTTAAATCATACCGCTGTAACTTTTCAACTATTAGCAATAATACATATCTGAAAGTCTGTACCTGGCAGCTCACACGGATATTTCTATTGTTTTTGTGCGCAGCGCTGTAACGTCTCACCTTCCAAACCCAAATCACTATTGAATGCTCGTAGTTACTGTAGTCTGATTACTGTCTAAAGCGGCACAGTTACATTTCTTCTACATTCTTTCGAGCATTAACGGAAACATGAGGAGTTTCTCAGTTTGAACAAGTGTGGCTCTAAAGCCTCCATCAGCTCCTAGAAGTTACGGGTCCCATTTCCTTGTCTGCAGCTATGACCACGGTAGCTTGAGGCTGAAGCTTGTGAGAGCTTTTGATCGCTTGAAAGCTGGAAATTTGTCCTGGAAAACTACTTGTGCATTTATGGCAGTCGGGTTAAGACAGATGAGGGGAACTATGAGATTCATCATCAGTAAATTGCTCTTGTGACGCTGACTGGATGGACTAACCATTAAAACACATCTTCAGATATGTCATCGTCATGCTTCGGTTTCACTGTTAAAGCTGTGTTTGCACTGCAGGGACTAGGAGGCTTTGGAAGAGCTCAGTGCGTTTCCACTGCCGGGACTCTGTTCTTCACTGGCAAAGAAACCGCTTTACAAAATAAATGTCTGAAGGAATTATTATCTTAAGGTTCTGGAACTTTTTGGGTCAGCCTTGCAGCTCGAAACGCTCCTGATTGGTGCTCACCACTATTATTAAAAATAAAAAATATGTAGTTGTAGCTAATGCGTTTGTTTACTATGCTGTGGCCTTACAGCAGCATGCCAAACATGGACTGAAAATAAGGTGTAGTAGAGTCGTGCACAAAAATGACATGTGTGACTCATCTGGAGCACAAATGCAGAGAACCAAAGGCCAAAGGTGAACAAGGCTCCTGGGACTAAAGGTTGTGAGTACACTGGGTTTCATGGCAACTTCCATTCTTTTGTGTTAACACCAGATGAAACAAGGTCTAAATTAAGCTCCAAGTTTTACCTCCAAATAATTCCTGATCCAACTTTCTTTCATAAGTACGTGCAGCTTCCTGCCAGGGCTTGCAGCTCTGAACATTTCTGACTGGTTCAGTTATTTGGAGTTTTTTCAACTATTTTTTCAAAGACCATTAAAAAAAATTTTTTTTAAAAAAATACTAAAACTACAACATGGAGTTACAAAAGACAGATGGAAATGACCACACAGTCCAAGCTTCATTAGGCTGTAACAGTGAAGAAGAAATGCACGGGTACAGACAGTTGTGAGCAGCTCTTGGTGTGTGAAAATAATGCAACTTTAATTCAATTCCAATTAAATGCAGTGGAACTTTATATAGCATCAAACAACACCTCAAGGTGCTTTATTTTTAAAAGGTAAAGACCCTAAAACAATAGGAGAGAAAACCGTAACAACCAGGCGACCCATTATGAGCACGCATTTGGCGACTGTGGGAAGGAAAAACTCCCTTTTAACAGGAAGAAACCATCAGCAGAACCAGGCTCAGGGTTCTGCCGCAGATAAAATACTTATTATAAATACCTGTGATAAAAACCTTTAAAAATTAAATAAAGACAGAATGTGAAGAAAAAAAAGATGCTTCTTTATGTACAAGGCTGCACTTTAGTGTAATACCACTTTTCACCACAAGGTCGTAAAACGAGTGTATCTCTTTTAACCAAACACGTAACTAAGAAGACATAAGGGTCTGGAAAAAAGGCTGCGCTAAAATAAATAAATAAATATTTGACTTGTAATAAACTCCGCCTGACAGTGGACTAATTAAAACGTGCAGAGTGTCATTACAAACGGCAGCTTTAAAAACAGCCCTTGCTTTTCTTGATAAGTCAGGTAAATAATGACGTTCTCAAGGAGCTTTAGTAGGAGTGAAATCAAAGATGGCAACTTTAGCTTCTTGGAAATTTTGTGGAAATTAGGTTCGTGTACAGCGGTTGTCATGAAAACCATCCAGCCTCAGAGAAATCTGCTCTGAAGTTAGCCTGTAAGTTTCCACAGCTTCATAATGCTACCTAATGTCAGACAGTCCCACAACACTGGCACCATCAGGGCTCACTCAATTATAACACTGCTGCTAATCTTCATTTAACAGGCTGCAATTAAAAGCTTCTTGTATTACAGCCCATCATAAACTCTGTAGCCAAAAGTCATTTAGATGTTTCTGACAGTCGCCCATTAAAATTAACCTCATTTCATTTTGACGCTTAAACCAGACGCCGCTTTTCTCAGCAATGTTACGCAATCACTTTATTGTGCCGTGTTCTTCAGACCATCAGAACTGTGGAATGTGTGCTTACACGTAACATGACTAACTGCAGTGTAACAGCATGCTGACATAATGCTGAGTGAGCCTGAGTGACATGACGCTGCAGTCACTTCCTGTTTGGAAAAACAGACTCCTTAGCACAAAGAAGCATCATTAGTCACCCAAGCAACAGGAAACAGGACCACGGAGCTTATTCCGCTTTTCCAAACAACGACGCATTAAATTCACCATTTTCAGCCACATTTTCAGCTCCCTGACAGAATGGACCATTGAGAAGCGGAGCAACACGACTTCTCACAATAATTTCATGAGGCAAAACTGCACATACATAGCTTCAAAAGGCAGGAAGACTGCTTCTTCATTTTGAATCAATCCAGTTTTATTTATACAGTCCCTGTTCACAACAATCACCTGTAGACACTTCCCAGTGATACAAATGTTCAGAAGATCCAGTATGAGCAGCACTTTGTGACAGTGGGGAGGAAGAAGTTCCTTTAAACAGGAAGAGACCCTTAAGGTCTGCCTCCCATTCTACTTTCAGAAAAGCAGGAACCACAAGTCAGCCTGCAGGCTGAATAATATTATTCTATGAGGTCTTTACAATATGACACGGCCTGATCATTCGGTTTGAGAGGGAAATAATAGGACACAAGTCCCCCCACAGCTTTCAGGCATTAAATGAAGATGACATAAAATGGTCTTTTTGATGAAAGAAACGATTTGGTCTTAAACCCGTGATGAACACAGAGTCAGCAGGGTTCACCCTTTAGGGAAGATAACCAAGAGTACAAAATGTTGTTGACATTTCAGTCTGAACGCACAGGGTGCTGAGTGTTTTGGTTTTTTCCTTTGAGACTTCCCGGTGGGGTCATTCAGGTCTACCTTCTGTCCCCGAAATAAACCTGGAGTTACAGTTTGTTAGTTTAACCTTTTCCACTTAGCTTACCTTCACTGCACCTGCACTTATTCAGTTCCGAACCTTTCATCTTTCTGAAGGCACATTATGCATTTTTATATTGCCTTCTGCACCTTTTCCATCTCGATTAAACAGGCGGCTTTATTTTGTCTCAGGGTGCTGCTGAATGCCTCTGCTGTGAAAATAACCCTGCAGTGACGTTAAAGCCTTATTGATTATGTTCTGATCGATTCTGAATCCCTGACAGAGAAAGGGGGCTTGGGACTAAGGAAAAAGCTCACGTGGAAAATCAGACTGAAAAAAAGAGAAACGGATACAAGTCTAATTAAAACGTTTTCTACTTTAATGAGGAGCAGGTTGATAAAGTCCTGTTTCTCTTACACTTGTATTGATTTCAGTATTAAATGTGTAAAAGGAGCAACAGCTGCTATCCTGTTGAACGACTCGCGTTTCGGCTCCAACTCGGACGCACCAGGCTGTATGGTTTTAAAGTCCGGTGTGTTTTTGGACTGCAGCAAACATCATAAACGCCTCTTTGACACCTGAAAACTGTCGCCTGCCTCGGATAATTCGAGGCATTTAAAACTTATTCCCACCCCAGCCTCTCTGTCCGGTCCGGTTTCGCAGGTTTCCCCGTAAAGGTTTAAGCTCCCCGGCAGGACTGGCGTTAACCAGGTAGTCCCGTCAGTGACCCACCTTCAGCGGCGGCTCCAGCAGCTTGTGGATCCCGGCGATCTGCTCGCTGAGCTGCAGGTTCTCTTCCAGGTTCACCGTCGGAGGTCTCCGAGGTTCGGGGAAGTTTGTGCAGATAAACGGATCCGAGTCCTCCAAGTACTGGACCCGGCAGACGATGGAGGCCATGGCCATGCGCCCGTGACCCGACTGCGGCTGTAGAAGTGCGAGCTGTCGGCGAAGGTCCGTCCTCCGCTGGAAGCAACTTTAAATGAGAGGAGAAAGTTTCAGCTCCAGATATAAAGCCGCCACACTCACTTCCGGCGCCTTCAAAGTAAAACTAAAGTGTAAAAGAAAAAGAAATGATTCAAAAGAACACTTTATTGATGATGAGATTATTTCTTATTTATTTCTTATTTTCATCAGATCTGGATTAGGTTATAGATCATATTTCTTAGTGCATATCAGTGAACTCACCCTCCAATCTGCTCAGACCACCCAAAGTTACCCGTATGAGATCACACTAAAAGACCAAGTTTTTTTTTACTTAGATTGAGGCATTTGAATGGTACTTTTATTCTAATTAAAATTATACACAAAAGGTCTGACAAAGTATACTTCAAGATAATCAGATAGCAATACAAGACCCACTTCAGGAAAATCCTAATCTCAGTATTCACTGACCGTTAGTTGGACTAGTCACTGATAACTTGTGTTCTTGTTTGCAGCAAATGCTGCATTTTTTATGCAGACTGGTGGTTTTTGGTGTCAACCAGAAAATAGTCCACCAGGCTGTGCCAGAGACCATCATAAGGTTTAGGATGTCACTGCGGGGTGGCACGCTCTCTGTGCGATTGGCTCAGTCTGTCATGAAAGTGATGGCGAGGACTGAACGTCTATGATCGGTCCTGTCAGATTGATCACATGTCCTCTATGCAGAGTATGAGCCGAGTATTGGCTTCTGTATGTCGCAGAACATACGGTGAACTGCTTTTAAACTTCATTCATGTTAGTCAAGCTTTTCAGCAAGTTTTTAAAAGTTATCTGCACATTAAAAAATGTTTATTGATTCTTTGTGAACGCAGGTGACAGAAGCTGATCACAGGTGGTATTGTAGTTTATGTTGGTTACATATAAGAAAACATATGTAACCAATCAAACTGTCACGGGCAGAGCTGATGGATGAGCATGCAGCTCCTGGAGCCTCGGGGTGCAGTGTGTTAGGCTGCTAATCCAGATTTTGCGGCGAACTTTTATTTACTAACCGCTCCATCCTCACGAGGCCCGTCAGCAGAGCCGTTTGTTGATCAGCAGCGTCCTCTGGTGGATGACTGACTGTAGTACAAAGATTTTCAATGACACATTAATGCTTGTTGTTTTTCTAGCCAGCTTAAAGAGTGATGCCGAAAACTGTCATTAGGAAATTAAAAAAATATACACCTGCAAACACCTGCGCTTTTTCTCTGTCATAAAAACTGCTTAAATCCCCACAAAGAACTTGGACTCACTTTCTTAACCCCTAGGGATACAGATGTATAAATGTTCAAATATCAAATACTTCAGCAAAAAAAATGAAAGAAAAAATAAAAATAAAAGAAATATCCTTTCAGAATATTTCTTTTTACATTTCATGTTTCATGTTAATGCAAAAAAATAAATAAATAAGAATACTTTATTAATCCCTAAGGAAATGATGTAAAGCTACACACAACCTACATATGTACACTGTCATAGTCAATCTGACATCCCAGGTATAATCTTACCATAATCATTGTAGCATAAGTATGTATGTCTGTTCCCTAACTCCTGCCAGAGGCATCAATCAATCTGGATTAAACTTTATCAACATCTATGAAGCTTTCAGGAATTATTTTTTATGTCACTCACATACTTACAAGTTATTTAAATTATGTGCAGTAGCGGGTCTTAAAACAAATGGCAACATTAGATCTATGTTAAGCAGTTTTTAGCGCAGTGGGACTTTGAGACAATTGTGACTAAATGTCAGACAGTGATGCTAACAGTGCCTGTAACACATCACTTTGTCTTATACAATGAGTATGTAGTTGAAGAGAAGAAGAACAATAAATACATGTTTATTATTAATTTATTTGCTGTTTATGAACAGAAATTTTCATCACCTGATCATATACAGTATTATAATGAAAATAAAAGAAATAAATTATAAATGATCATACATGTCCATCTTTTTATACATGAGCAAAGCAAAGAAGCACTGCTGGCCTGGCAAACACACAGGGTGCTTCTTGTATGATACAATGATATCATGGGTATAATTACAGTTTATCCTTCCATGGTGGAGTTCACATGGTTGGCTCTACATTTTGCACTGTAGCACTCATAGTTTTATGCGCTTCTTCCGATTCTTATATCAGTGACTGATGGGTGGAGCTCTACTTGACGCACCACATCCCAGTAACATGGAACAGTGAGAGACTCTATGCACAAACTGCTGCTGCTTCAACCTCTGTGGATCTGTGGACTCAGTTCATCTTCTCTTACCAAAATGGCAGCCATCTGTGGAGAGAAAAAGAAACACTGAATAAGTGTTTATGTGCAGCACATCCAGTATAAAATACAGCAGAGGTTCAGATCTCTTCAGAGCAGCAGTGGAGAGGCTGTGCAGTGTAGCTAGCGCTCTCTTAGTTCTTCATGTTAACATGTTGGTGTGAACATGCTGAGCTTTTAGCATCAAGTCTAATCAATTTCATAAAGTAAACTGAGC